TCGTGGACATGGCAATGCCCGAGAAAATGCGATCGGCCCGTTTCGGTTCGCCAAACTGCTTGCCACCCCCCGCTGTGCCACCACCGCCGCCACCACCGCCACCGCCACCACCGCGGTTACCGTCTGGCGCCCGCAGATGATGTTTTTTAGGGCAGTGCGCGTGCTGACTTTCCCGTGGGGTGGAGCGTCTGTCGATTAGAAATCACAAATGTGCCCGTCGTCCGTACCGACGCTACTAGTGTGTTAACCTACAAACATCACGCCGCGATTGCGTCGCAATCGTCGTCGGCGGTTTCACGCGCCCACGTTGTCCCTTCGATCGCGAACCGCGACAACGATGGCAATGGCTTCGTTTCAGAACACAACATACCGTGGGGGGCGTCTTGGCATCGACCACCGCCCTCGTCGCATTCATTGTTTCCGCTGTCGTCGTGCTCCTCCCCCCCCCCGTCGCCGCTCGGGCTCAAACGCCCCGCGCTTGCGCGGGCGCCGAGCGACGCAGGTCCGCAGTCAATGCGGCTCACATCGACACGCAACCGTAATCATATGCGATCTGATAGTTCCAACGGGCGATATCGATGCAGAGGTGCTGGAGGATATTGCTATGTCTATAAATGAAAAGAAGCTCGGCTCCCAATTTCACGATGGCAGATGGTCAAATCGCGACGTTGCTCTTTTGATCAATGTTCTACTGGCTTCCACCATTTGCTAATGTCCAGGTTAAGCAACCAGGACATTGCCAATGTCCCGGTTAATTAACCTTGTCATGGCGCGCCTATTCCTCATCCAAGAACTAGGTAACCGCGGCGCTGGCGCAGTTGCGCGCGTGGATAAGGGCCCATGAGATGCCCGTCTGGTCCCCGAGCCGATCAAGACCTTGCCATCGATGTGCGCGGTAATCTCTGGATGCCCTGGCCCGCGAATCTCCGGCGGGATCAGGTTGGCCGCCCCCTCCTGGGCCCCGCTCGCCATGGCGCAATTCGCTTAACTGGCGCGGGTGATTCAGACTCGGAAAAAAAGAAATGGGCCGATTAATTGAATTTGACCACAAAGATCTACAACGCATGAGCATTCAGCTTGGGGTACTACTCTGTGTGCAACTTGATTCATGACACGCAGGCGATAAGCGCATCGCCATAAACGCATTCAGTTCACGCAACAGCTGCATTGTCGTCAGCGCCGACCATGATTACTTTGATGCCCCCTCTCCTAACTTCCCCTTGTAGCCATGGCAAACTTCAATGTGCCTCAGCTGTCCTGACTCCTGACCCCCTCCTGCTGGCAATGACGATAGCTGCACTCCCAACGCTCTTGAGGACCAGCTGAGTAGCGCCAGTGGAACCCCTGCCTCAGTTCCTAAGCCCACGGATCCTCCTGTGACCATCCCATCGCACTCCGCCTCTCCAGAGGATGGGGCTACAACGCTTTGCGTGGTGCTCCACAACTCAATGAGATGCCCCCCTACCTATCCCCCCACTGGTCTACTTTCGGCTCCGCGTGCAAGTGGTTTAGCCGCATGCACCGGCAGCAGCCGACCGCCGCCGCGGCGACCGCGGGCCGCCCAGCGCCGCCGCCGCAGTCGCCCCAGCCTGGCGCGCGCGGCCCGCCCGAGCAGCGGCCGGCCCTCCGCGTGCATGTCGCCACATCTATGTTCCACCTCTCCGCGTCGCCCCCCCGCCTCAAGGGCTCCTGCGCCGCGGCGGCTTCGTCGGGCACGCCGACGATTAGCTCCTCGCTAATTTCATGAATTCCCAAGAATACGCCACCGCCCCCATCCACTCTCAAGTTTTCTGCCCAACCTCCTCGCCCTGAGTTCTGAAAGGCGTCGCGCGCTCTTGACAATTCGGCAACTGCTGGTTGAGCGCCTTCCCCTGAATCGCAAATTCGCGGTCCCCCACTCTACTCCCGGCGCAAAACTGTTCGGCGCCGACGCGGCGCCCAGCGCTGGCCCAGATACCAGGGCGCGATTATCATCGCAAACTTCTTCGCAAGCATTGCCCAGGCGCACTTCTCATCGTGCTCATGTGTCCCCGCGCAGTTCCAATGGCGGCCACAAGGCGCCTTTCGCATGTGGGTCTCCGGCGGGGCTAACTTCAAACCCCGCGTTTGCGTCGCGCGCGCCATTGGCCGCCTCCTTGCGCGACGCGGTCGCGGGCGCGCCGTCGCCCTGCGCGCCGTCGCGAGGACGGCCCGACTTTGCCCGGCGCGCGCAGTCAGACCTGCCGCCGCTGCCATCGAAGCGACCCCCTCTCCGAGCCCCCCCCGCGACGCAGTGGGGGCGCCGACTGAGATGGGAGAGATGCGCGGCGCCGTTTGCAATCGCGGCGCGCTCGCGGGTGCCCCAGCCCCCCCCAATCACGAGCGCATCTTCTACTCCGCGCGACTCGCCGCCCCCGCCCCCGCCATTTCCCTTGCGGCCCACCCCCGAGATGACAAGCGCCAGCGTGGGACTTACGGTCTACGGCGGCTGCGCTGAAACACGCCCCCCGCCGGGGTTCCCCGCTTCGGACAACCCTCCATCTGCAACTTCCTCCACTGTCTTTCTGGGATTCTGACTCCGCGATCCCGCTGGTGCACAACCGAACTGGCACGCGCCGCCTCGCCCGCGGACCTCCGCTTGCTGCCCCGTCGCCCCGCGCCCCGCGCAGCTGCCGAGGCGCCCCGGCGCGTCGCGATCGAGCGCGATTCGATTTTCAGCCTCGACCATCTCCTGGATAGATCCCAATCTGTCAACGTCTGCCGCTCGCATGGGCACGCTCGCCCCCGACACCAGTGGCATAGCGGTTCCGCGCGCCAGCATTCAGCGTTTTCCTGCGCCCCCAGTCCTCGGATTTAATGTGCAGTTTCTGGTACTTGTCCTTCGCGGGTGAGCCGAGAGTCTGGGAGCGCTTCTGGCGCCAACCCTCGAACCAGTCGCCGGCGCGTCGCGGCGGTTTTCCGCGCCGCGACCCTGAAGGACAGACTTAACGAGCAAGCTGGATGCCGCCCACTGCCACCCAATGCCGTCCACTGCCTGCTTTTCTGTCTAGGTAGCCACATCGCTAGCACTGTTATTTGGCTTGTCGGGATTCATGGCCGGGCTCATTTTGGCAGACAGGGCAACTCCGGCAACTGCGGCATATCCCAGTTACAAAAGTCTAATCATAGTGCCTACAACTGACATGTCTGGCCGCTGTGGTGAGAAGTAGTATGGGGGTGAAATGCATGTGTGATTCCACGCGGGAAGATATTGATATTTGCGTGGGAGGGTCCGGGAGGGCCTTCCCCCTCGTGAATTTCTAGGGTGCGAGATTTGATCCCGAATTGGCTATGCACTATTAGTTGTACACCAGCCAAGGGAAAACCCGGAAAGATCTCCCGCCTGACCAAGCCGAACGCTGTCGTGCTCGGAGTCCACGGGGGAGGGGGGGTCCCGCTCGGAGACGCCCCAGTCGTCAGCGCTCAAGATGAATAACTCTCGTAACGAGAGAGTATTTTGGATGCGCCTGCAAGGGTCCCTTCAACTTCCCCCTAGGTTCCACTCCATCTCACGTGTCATATGATATGTACCACATGTCCTCGTCTAGCATTACGCATCATATCTTTACCTGCCAAATTGCTCTTTGCGGTCCTCCTCCTCTTGTTTGGCCTGCATGTTTTCCGCTGGCGTTAACCCACCATTGCGAACTCTGACCATGTCATCACCATGTTCGTCGTGCAACGTTCCATCCATCGTTTCACATGTGCATATTCATGTGTTGTGCGCTTTGCGATCGTGGGGACTGGCCTGCACCATTGCGTTTGACAACTTGTCGCCCCGCTCGCGAAATTTGGTATTATCTCCTGCGAACGCCTTGAACTGCTGCGTGGCCTCATGTTCGCGAACCGGTTTCTGTCACCCTCCTGTTCTATGTTAACATTCAGCAGCTGAGTCCGCTAGCTTGGTGACCTGGTCCATCGTGTTCTTGCGCGTCCGTTTGAAAATTTTGGATTATCAATTGCAGTTTCTTGGCCATTCCTCTGGGTGCGTATTTCCTTTGACGATACTCTGTAGCATGGAGCTCATTTTCTGAGCTACGGGTAACAGTCCATAGCTCTCCTCATGTGTGACAGCTCTGGTTCCTGCCGCTGTTTTTTGTATGAAGGCCCGCATTCCCTTACGATTGGCTCTTAGGGCTACTTCCACATACCTGTAACCACCTCCGTAATACGCCGCTCCACATACCTCACTGACCCTCGCTTGGTTCAAATTGAGAAACCGATCGCGATCCTGGGGCGTATTTAACTCGGGGGGCGGTTCTCCGGGATTTGCGGGAGCCGTTGCTTTTGCCGCCGCTGCCGCCATCGACCTCGCTCCGCTACCATACAAATTCCCGAAGAGGATTTGCACGAGAACGGAGTACTGTTATTTGCTACCAGGCAACGAACCGACTGTGCACTGCTTGGCCACTTGAGCTAAACGGCGTCGGTACCGACATCCGTCTGACCAGTACACAAGCACACCCTTCTCACCCAGTCACAAGGCTACATTCTAACACCTCCTCCCCCTCCTCCCCCTCCTCCCGCCCCTCCACCTCCTCCTCCTCCTCCTCCTCCTCCTCCTCCTCCTCCTCCCGCTGCGTCTCCTCCTCCTCCTCCTCCTCGTCCTCCTCCTCCTCTTCCTCCCGCTGCTGCTCCTCCTCCTCCTCCTGCTCCTCCTGCTTCTGCTCTCCCACCTCCTCCGGAATCCTCGTTCTCCTCATCCCCCCCTGCCCTGGCCGCGAGTGGGGCGCAGCGCCTGCCACTTCTTCAGCGACGGCGAGGGCGGCCCCTCGGGGCGAAGAGGGAGACGAGGGACGGAGCGAGACGGAGAGGAGCGGGGGAGGAGGGAGGGAGGGGAAGGTGGGGTGGAGGAGGTAGCGACGAGGAAGGAGCGGGACGAGGGGGAGGGAGGGGGATACACTCACGCCTCCCCCACAACATCGGAGGCGTGGCATCCCAGAGAAACATGGCGTTCCCCGGTGGATATCTTCTTGAATTACGCGAGATCTCATATTTGATATGCTCCTGCGAAGGTCGTGAAATGATGCTGTCGGCTTCAATGCAAACTTCCACACACTTCTGATAGACGCACGACACTGTCGTGAATTCTCATTGGAAGTGCGCGCGAAGCTTGCTAAATGTGATCGATGATTTTTGTTCCTGCCTCGCACTTCTAGCCCGAGAAGCGTTCTGTACATGCATCTGTCGTCTGCGGGCCCCTATCTGCACTGGGGCCGCGGCAAGTGCGGAGGATGTGTAATGAGAGCCATTCGTGTGACCCCCCCAAAAAAGCCTCGTGCGGCAGACAGCGTTATCACTATCGGGACGCGATGACTGCGCGACAGGAGGCGGTAACCCCGAGAGAAGTCAAAGACGAGGGCCTCATGGCACATGCAAGAAGCCAGAGTCAAAAACGATGGCCTGATACAAAGTCAACGATGAGAGCACCCTGATCAGGGAGGGCCCTGATGGGTGGAACAATAACAACAACTCAGCTGCAGCAACCCTGCCCCGAAACGGCCTCGCGCCGCAGCGGAAGGCCAGGCCTGCTCTGCGTGGACTCTGCCTCCGCCGCGCTCGCCACCATATCGCGGAGAAGCACCTCGAACGCGCCCTCGACGTTGTGCGAGTTCCGCGCGCTTGTCTCGAGGAAGTGCACCTGCAATTCTTCTGCCATCATCTGGGCTTCGTCAGTGGCCACAACTCGCTTGGAGACTAGGTCCACCTTGTTGCCGACCAGCATCTTCTGAGTTGAAGGCGATGCATACTTGGCGATCTCCTGCATCCACATGCGCACCCGGCTGAATGACTCGCGGTCGGTCACGTCGTACACGACGATGATGCCATGAGACCCACGGTAGTAGCTGTTGGTGATCGTGCGGAAGCGCTCCTGGCCAGCGGTATCCCAAAGGTACATCTTGGCCACCTTTCCATCGATTGTACGCGTACACACTTTGAAGTCCACACCGATCGTCGATTCGAAGTCAGGCTTGTAGAAATCGTCCGCATATCGGAGGAGAAGGTTCGACTTGCCAACGCCGGAGTCGCCAATCAGAAGGACTTTGAACATGTAGTCGGACTCGGGGGCATGCGGCATGCGTGCAGGCATTGCTGGGTTGTGTGTCCGATTGACTGGGGCCTGCGATCCGAAGAACGGAGACTGCGGCAGAACTGGCTTGAGCTACCGTCGCTAGAGCCAAAAATGGCTACGAAAATGTGATCGAGGATATTGTGGTGGGCTTTCTAAAAAGGCGTCAGGGAGTTGATGCTGATGAGAAGAAGGCCCCCGAAGGGGGCAAACATAGTTTCCTCAAGGCCCCAAAACGCTCCCAAGAGGCTTACACATACCTCAAACTTGTCTCCAACACGCCCTCAAAGAGGCTCCCTGAGCAGCTCACCGCAATCCTCCGAAAGACGCTTGAACATATTCCGATACACATGTAAGAAACTCCAACGAGCCTTCCGGTTGTCTGCGGTCCAGATGAACTCCGAAGCCGTCCTCTTGCTTCTCAGCCCCTCTACTTCCCATGCACACCGCGACCATGAAGCGATCGAGCGATCTGTTCCCTTTCGAGCTGTGAAAGCACAACGGGAGGTCTTGAGCTAATTCTGGCCTCCAGGTCCTCACCATGGGGGTGGAAGGCCCCCGCGAATTCGGTGCAACTCATGCGAGCCTCCCATACTATCTTGTCGGCTGTTGCGAATCGACGCTAGTCGACGCTAATCTACGCTAAATCGACGCTAATCGACGCCAGCCGACGCTAAATCGGCGCTATCACATCGACATCCAGACGCTAATCGAGGCTAATCGACGCTGAAGACAAAATTAAAAGCGCATCCCAGGCTCCCATGATTTGCGACCGAACAGAAGTATCCGAAAGCGAAAGATCCGCGAAGGCCTTCATGGTAGACTCCTGTCGTCGTGCTGCCCGCCCTTCCCACTCTGGAGCACCACACAAACACTTCTTTTCCGTCGGCGGCGAGGCAATATGCACCAACGTGCGTGGGTGTGGGTGTGGGTGTGGGTGTGGGCGTGGGTGTGGGTGTGGGTGGGGGTGTGGGTGGGGGTGTGGGTGGGGTGTGTGGGGGTGGGTGTGGGGGTGGGAGGGCAGCCGAAATGCGAAGTGTCCGGCGCGCAAGAGGCAGGAAGAAGACGAGGGCGGCCCGAACACGGTGGCTGGATGGGCCCAGAGGCCATTTGTGACGCCCGAAGGCAGCCCAACGGATACAGTCAACCAGTATAGTAAGGATGCGCGATAAGGCTGCGAGGGCCTTGGACGCCCATTTCGAGGCTTCTCGGGCGGGGCGCGGCCAGCGAAAGCGGCGAAGGATGGGCCGGGGAGATAGGGATGCAAGGGTACCCCTGGGAAGGTGGCCCATCCTTAACATCATGGTTGACTGTACCCCGGAGCGGCCGGCCAAAGGCAGCAAACAAAAAGGGCATGATTTTTGGATGCTCGGTTTTCCGGCCTCCAGGCGCCTCATCACGCCTGAGAGGCCCCGAACATCGTCCCAGAACAACCCGAAAGGGCTGGCAGACAGTCCAGGAGAGCCCCACGAAGGTCCAGCAAGGCCCCCAGATGGACCTAAGAGAGTTCCATGACGGCCCAAGATGGCCCCAAGACGCCCCCCGAAACACTCCAAATACCATGGGTGGCAGGAAGGTAACCCTAGGAAACCCACAGAGGCCCTCAAGGAGCGCCCAGGATCCCTTCAGACAGAACCCCCCAAACAGCAAGTGAAAGATTTGGCGATGCCCCCTACAAGCTTGCCAAGGAGGACTAACAAAACTTTGGAGGACATGGAAGAGCGCCCCTTGGGGCTGGAGGGGTCGTCGCGCGCTTCGCGCGCGCTCAAGCTCTGGTGCGTGTCTGCTTTGTCCTACAAACATACGTGTACACATCTATACACCCGTCCGTTCCCACACCAATCCAACCATACAGTCGTCCATACATCCCATCTTCTGGAATGAGCGAATGTCTTCATCAACATCCCACCAGCCCTCTGTGCGACATGCGGTCTAACGATGTATGTCTTTCCTCTTACCAAAACACTCTTCCCCTTAGGGAAAGGGTTTATGTTCCCCAGTAAGTATCATACCTACCGATGCGATATCGCAGTGCATTATTTCGACCGACCGACCGACCGTGCCTGGGATGTGCGCTGGACTGGGATGTGTGCTGGGACGTGTGCTGCCTTCGTGTGCTTGGATGTGTGCAGGGCTATGTTGCCTCCGTGTCCTGGGAGATGTGCTGGGATGTGCGCTGCCTTCGTGTGCTGGGATACGTGCTGGGGTGTGGCTTGGGGGTGTTGGGGTCTCAGGGCCAAGATGTGTGTTGGGATGCGTGCCGCCCCCGTGTGCTGGGATGCGTGCTGGGATACGTGCTGGGTGTGCTGGGGTCCACCGTGCCCCCCCCGTCCACCTCCTCCTCCCTACAACCGTGCGCCCCCACCCGCCCTATCCGCCCCGTGGCCCCCGTCGGCTATTCCGACCGACCGACCGTGACCCCCCTTCTTCTGTCAGGCCCCCCAACACACCTCCGCCCCGTGGCCCCCGTCTGCTTATTCCGACCGACCGTGCCCCCCCCTGCCCGACCGCGTCGTGCGCCCCCCCCGCCCTCTCCGCACCGTGGCCCCCGTCTGCGTATTCCGACCGACCGACCGTGTTCGTTATTCCGACCGACCGTGCCCCCCTCCCCTCTGCCTGTCCCGCGCCCCCCCGGCTTATTCCGACCGACCGTGCCCCCTCACCTCCCTATCCCCTGCCCCCCCCGTCCCTCCCCCTCCCCCCCCCGTGGCCCCCGGCTAATTCCGACCGACCGCGCCCCCTCCCCTCTGCCAGTCCCGCGCTCCCCCCCCTGGCGCATTCCGACCGACCGCGCCCCCCTCTTCTCTCTGCTCTCCGCCCCCTCCTCATCATATCCCCCCCTCGCCCCCCCCTGGCCGATTCCGATCGACCGTGCCCCCTCCCCTCTCCCTGTCCCGCGCCCTCCCCCCATGCCGCGGCCTTTTTGCCTCCCCCCACGAGACCCCCCCTGGCTTATTCCGACCGGCCGTGCCTCCGCCCCCCCTTCTTCTGCGCCCCCCCTAGCTTATTCCGACCGGCTGCGTCCCATCCCCTGTGCCTGTCCCGTGCCCCCCTTGTTATCTTATCATGCCCACCGGCGTGGTCTTGCACTGCATAATTTCGACCGCCCGTGCCTGGAATGCGCTGGACGTGCCCTGGGATGCGCGACGAGATGCGTCCTGGACTGTGAACGCCGGGGCGTGTCCTGTCCCCGTCTGCTGGAATGAGTGCCTGGAATCCTCCGCGCCCCCCCTCTGATTTCTTCCGGCCGACCTCGCCCCCCCCCCCCTCTGCCCGCTCCAGGCACGCCCCCTCTGTTTTATTCCGACCGACCGTGCCCCCCTCCTCTCCGTGCCCCCCCCCTCCCCATATCCCTCCCCATCGCCTCGCCTGGCATATTCCGACCGACCGTGCTCTCTCCCCTCTCCTTGCCCCGTGCCCTCCCCCCGCCCCGTGGCCCTTTTGCCTTTTTCGCCCTCGCCCCCCTTCCTTACTCCGACCACCCACGCCCCCGCCCCCCCGTCATCTGTGCCCCCCTTTCTCTGGTTTATTCCGACCCTGTCTTATTCCGACTGACCGCGCCCCCCCCCTTTCCTCCGCTCCCCCCCCCTCCCCATTACCCTCCCCTCGCCCCCGCCCTGGCTTATTCCGACCGACCGTGCCCCATCCCCTCTCCCTGTCCCGCGCCCTCCCCCCACCCCGTGGCCTGCCCCCCCTCCCCTCCCCTGGCTTATTCTGACCGACCGTGCCCCCCTCCCAGACGACGGGCCCGCACAAAACCCCCAATCAGCACCAGAAACGCCCAATATCACCATGGCGCCGCCAGCTCAGCGCGTCGCAGCACTCGCGCGCTTCCCCAAAACTGCCGCAGGCAAGCGCCACCTCCATCTCCCACTGTCCCACATCCGTAATTGCATGATCCTTGGCACGCGTGCCTGTTGTTCCGACCGACCGCGCCCCCCTCCCCGCCATCACCACCCACCACCCCCTCATCACTCTCCCCTCATCTCGTTTTACCTTCTTCCGACCGACCGTGATCCCCTCTCCTCTCCCTGCCCCGTGCCCTGCCCTGGCTTGCTCTATTCCGGCCGACCGTGCCCCGCCCCCCCCCTCTCGCATTCCCCTCCCCCCTGGTCGCTGGAAGCCTCCTGCTCCCGCTCTTGGGCCCATTTTGGGCCTGTTCTGGGGCAGTCTGGGGCTGTCCTGGGCACCTCTTCAGCAGTCTTGGAGCCTTCTTGGCTCGTCTTGGGGCCGTCCTGAGGGTCTCGTGGGTGGTCTTGGGGCGGTCTTGGGAGCCTCTTCGGCGCTCTTGGACCATTGGAAGCTCGAAAACGCGGAGGCCAAAAACATTGAAAAAAACACATGGAAATCGACGATTTGGGCCTCTTCGGGCTGTCCCGGGACACCTCTCGGACCTCCCTTGGGGTCTCTTGGAGGCCACCCGGGAGCCTCGAGAGCCGTCCGAAGGCTGACTTGGGCTGCTTGGGAACGTCTTGGACCATCCTTTCGCATTCTGGGTGCTCCTGAGAGGCGTCTTGGGCCCTCCTGGGGCGCTGTGGAGGCTCCCCGGAAAGGCCTCTTGCTCCTGGGGGGCGTTCTTGGACGGTTTAGGCGTCTCGTGGGCCGTCTTGGCCCCCTCGTGGGCCGTCTTGGGGCCCTCTTGGGGGCATCCTCGACTGGCTTGGCTGCCTCTTGGGCCGTCTTCGACGCAGTGGACGCCCAAAAGGCAAACACGCCAAAAGTATCAGTTTTCCCATGGGAAATCGACGATGTTTGTTAATTTGGCCACTCTCGGGGTGCCTCTTGGGGCGTCTTCGGAGCCTCTTGTGTATTTTTGTTCGGGTCTCATGGGGGCCTCTTGTGGCTTCTGGGCCCCTTCTTGGAGCCTCTTGGGGTCTCCTAGGGTCTCTTGGGCCAAAAGGCCAACATTTTCGGTTCCTCGTCCCCGTCTTGGGCGCCGCCTTGGGGCCGTCTTGGCCCCTTCATGGGCCGTCTTGGGGCCCTCTTTTGAGCAGGGACCGACCGTCCCGGCATTCCTACAGTCCTACCACGAAATGTTCTTACAACCCAGAAATGTTCTAAGAACCAAAACAGTGTTCTTAGAACATAAACCCGATGTGATAAAACAAGACAGTCCCAGCCAGAAATGTTCTAAGAACATTT